AGAGACAGACCCAAGACAATAATCTGTTGGACATGCAACTCCCAGAGAGAAAAATCCTCCTCTCCCTCCAGCTCCATCACAGGAAAGCCCTGCTGTCACTTTGGGGTTAAATCACAAAGTAAAAGTTCYATTTCTCACCATTTCCCGTTCCTGCCCAGCCCTGCCTGAGGATCACAAAGCTTTAGTGATGGGAGCCAAGGGCAGGCAAGCTGAGGTTYCTTCCCCCTCTGAGAGTTAGGCATGAAAATGCAGCATGCCCCTGGGGACACGGGCCCTTGGCACAGGGTGMGCTCCCAGTGATTCCTCTGGACTAAAACCCCTCAGGATCTGCTTAGAAAAACGCTTTCCTCTTTTTCAAACCATTCCTGGAGCAGCTGAGCATGACAAAAACCAGCCCTGAGCTCCCAAGGGCAGAAAACTCCCCTGAAACCTCACTCCCCCTTGGCAGGGGCACATGCATCACCCAGAGAGGATCAGGACCAGGGGCTCATCTGAGCTGCACAGCCGCTGCCACCCCACAAAAATTAAAAATCACATTTAAAAATAAATAAATAAATAAATAAATCAAGGTTAAGGCAGCCTGTATGAGGCTGATGCTTACACTGGGAGACGGCAGCAACGCTTCCTCGCCTAGTTCAACATCTCTCCTCCACTATTTTATATTATTTTTTTTCTTTTGGCCTATTTTCTGCATCGAGAGAATTTCAATTTCCCTCCAAAAGCAACTTGATGAAGATGATAAGAAGATAAAGAGGTGGGGGGGAAAAGTGTTGGCGCAGCTTTTCCTGAAGGAGATGCCTATAAACAGCTGTACTGGAGCATGTAATTCTTTCAGATAAAGCGTATTTGTTATTTTCTAAAACACTTTAGATTTAAACCCACAAATTTGGTGTCAGGTCTGCACTTGGTTATCAGATTGACACATTCTGATTAACCAAGGAGAATTAACCTCTCAGAGTGCAGAAAGAGCTGATTTTTTAAAAATAAATCAAAGATTCTTTTCCAGTTCAGCTCCCACGGACAGCCGGTTATTTTAAGTCGATCCACGCAAATACATTTTGGCTGCACGTGTCCTGGCACCCGTGGGTTTGCTGAGCTGCTCTGCCAAACCCTGGGCCTTTCCTGCAGCCACTCTGAGCCAGAGCCTTTCCCTTTGGCAGAATTCACTGGGGGAGGCTGAGGAAGGGCACAGCACCTCAGCAGCCCCGGCAATGTGTGCCCAAATCTCCCTCACTCCATTCTCAACCCCTTCTTCCACCTCCCATTTCCTCCCTTGGCACGAATCCTGCCACTGCTGATCCATGGCACCATTAGCTTTTGCTGTCACCAGAGCTGACAATTCAAAAGGCCCTYGAGAGCTGTCTGCAGAGACACAATAAATGAGATCTCTTAATTAACGCCTCCCTTCACTAAATAAATTAATTTTATGCAGCTGATACTGTCGTGTCTTCACAGTTTGAGGGTGACTGAGTAGCTGAAAAYGTCCCTCTCCTCGGAGCTATTGGAAAGACTTTTGTTGCTTGACAGTGTTTCTATAAACAAATGCAGCTCCGAGGTGGCTGAGGGTGTGTGTGAAGGCAGGGAGGGAGGGAGGGAGGCTGCTGGAAGCTGGCCAGCTGGCATCCCTCTGCTCCAGCATCCCTCAGMACCCAGGCTTCCAGGAGAAACCCCTCACCTGAAGGGAGGGSAAGAAACCCCTGTGCAGCAGGAGAGATGTGGGATGTAGACTCCTGCATCCTTTTAAGTAGATGCAGAGACAAGGCAAGCCACCTCCTTCACTTCCCCAGAGGAAAATCAGCTGCAGCTATGCCAAAGCAAGGAGAAAAGAGCCAGRCTTCCAGGAGAAACCCCTCATCKGAGGCAGGGAGGGGARGAAACCCCTGTGCAGCAGGAGAGATGTGGGACATGGGCTCCTGCATCTTTAAGTGGATGCAGAGATGAGGCAAGCCACCTCCTTTGCTTCCCTGGAAATGGAAACCAAAAAGCCAGCTGAAGTTATGCCAAAGCATGGAGAAAAAAAGCCAAGGATGCTTCACCCCCCAAATGAAGGCTTGGGAACATGGTCTTGCGGTGAGGGCAATAAAACCTAATCATAAAGATCAAAACTAAAAGGACTTGGGCACTTGAGAGTTGGGATTTCAGCCCTTCTGTTGGACAAAGCAGATCCCACTCCCTCACAAACAGATCCCTACCTAAATGTACCTGTGGAAAATGGCTCCACATCCAGACTTCACATCCAGCACAGATCCTGATCCATCACTCTGTGTGGCACAGCTCAGGTTTTACACCTACATCCTCCCATCTCTCCAAATCCACCTTTCCTTTCAGGGCAGGTGAGACAGGCATGCTGCCTCCAAAAGTGGCCTTTTCTTTCACCTCTTTTCC